CTGAAGGTTCTCTACAAGTTGTTATACCTTATACACCTGCTTAAATATTTTATTTAAACCCTCTGATTTGATCCTAATATTAATTTTATCAGATCACAGACTCAGATTTATTTACTTTTAACTATAGGACTATAATTCTTAGACTATTTTTATCCTCAAGGTAAATCTATTAGAGTGAGCTATATTCTCTTTTATTACTAACCTGATTTGATGCTATAGCTGAGACCAATACTTGCAGTTAAGGTTATCTCATAAACTACTATTATTTTTGTAAAGTTTACCCAAACCTTGATACTTATCTTTCTGACTTCTTCTTTATCATCTCCTATTAGCCATAATTCAGAACTAACTGACTCCCCCAAACTTCCAATCCAGATGGCTCAGTATAATATACTTATGTATCCTTTTCTTTTGATAATTCTGGCAGCCTAATTAGTTATATGCTCTTCTATATATCTTGTTATTTAGTTTATCTGATAGTTTCTATGAAGATATTTTATAGGCTTCTATCAGTCCAATGGCATTATCAAAAGTTTATGCTATCTTTTTATTCAGGATTTCTAAGTAAGTTTTCATCTTCTTAGTTTTTTAGCCTTCTATGCCTGATGGTCTTATTATAGGTTTGCACTAAAGTCTTATATGACATCAGTTTTTCACATTCCTCTATGTACATGTAATATTATATTTTGTATAGATGCCCAAAGCTCCCAATGTCAAATAGAGCCTAACTTAGTATATCTAAGATTACAGATATCTAAAACTCAACCGATTAGCAAGAGACAGTTATCATAACACAAGTATAATTTTCAAAATTCATTGTCTGTAGGAATTAAACCTTAGACCTACTATTTGAGGGTTGACAATCTATCTACTTCACTAGGTTGCCACATCCCAGTTACCCCTTATAGTACTACAGTTATAATATATAAGTTATATTACTTTTGGGTTAAACTAACATAGACTGTATAAGATAGCAAAGTAGTATGATGTATAGGTAATATAGATAATATAAGTAACTTAGTAACATATTGGTGATATAGATAACACAAGTAACATATATATATACATATTTAAAAAGAATTAAATATAACAGGAATATTGATTCTTTCCATACTTAACAGAGCATTTATTACTATCACTATTTTTTAAAATCAAGTTAATAGTTTTTAATATATTTTTTTACTGAACAAAAGTAAACTTTATATATATTATACAAATCTTTAATGTTAAATTAATTTATTAATTTTAATTTAAAAATTTTATAATGCTGTTTTGTTATCTCAAGATAATTTTTGACATTAATTTTAGACAAACATATATTAATTTATTTTTATTTGCTTTTTATTATATATATATTTTTTAATTTTTTAATTTTTTATTTTATTATTATTATTATTTTAAATTTTTTTTGATTGCTTTTTTTAATAATTGTTAAATGGATATTTTATTTTTAAAATAACAATTTAGAATTAACATAAATTTAGAAATAATGTAAAACAAAAATATATAATAATCAAAATAGAATATAAGTTATGAAAAATAAGAAAAAAGCATTTAAATAAGATGAAATTAGGAGAGAATAGTAATTCTAGTATAGTGATTGAATTGTCATCCTCCAAGTGGCAGGTCTAAGGTTCAAATCCCACCTATAATAAAATTTGAAAATTATATCTGTATTATAGTAACTGTCTCTTGTCGATCAGTTGGCCTTATACAGCTATAACCCAGATATACCAAGTCAGGTCCTACCAACATTAGGAGCTTGGGGCATCTATATGAAGTGTAACATTACATATACATAGAGAAATGTATAACCAGTGTTGTATAAGACTTCAGTGCAAACTCATGATAAGACTACTAGGCATAGAAGATTAAAAAACTGAAATAACAGAAATCTACTTAAAAATTTTTGAATAAAGAAATAGCATGAACTTTCAATAGTACCATCAGACTAGTTGAAGCCTATGAAACACCTTTATAGAAACCATAGGTTAAACTAAACATCAAATATATAAAGAAGCATATAACCAACCAAACTATCAGATTTACTAAAGAAAAAGAATATAGAAGTATACTATAATAGGCCATCTGAATTAATAGTCTAAAAGAGACTGCTAGTTCTAAGTTGTAGCTAGTAGAGAATAATAAAGAAGATGCTAAAAAGATAGGTACTGGGTTCTAGTAAACTTGATAAGAATAGAAATAGTATAATGTAGTGGTTTAAGATTAACTCTGACTGCAAGTATTAGATAACTATTGCATGTTGCATAAAACTAAGTTAGCTATATATGAACACAAAAGGTTCTAGTAACAATACTTCTGAGAATACATTGCATGAAATAAGGTATGAAGTTCTAAGAATATAAGTAAGCATCTAGACCTTCTTGACTAACTTATATAGCAGAGATAATTTAGTAATACAGTTAGGATTGCAGTACAAAGAGTTTAAATAGGCAACACCCTTAGTAAGGTTGCAGGTATGGCAGCTAATGTAGAACCATCAGCAGACTACTTAATTAGACATCAAAAGTATATATATAACTAGTTGTACTCTTTAAAATAAAAAAACTCCTTTGAGGCCTTGGCCATGAGTCTCTATATTTTAACTACTGAATAAAAAGCTCTAGCTCCAAAAGAAGCTAGTTAAAAAAAAAAAAGATAGAATTAGAGTTAAAAAAAATGAAATATGCTTAAAATCTATCAAAATAGATATGTTATTGAACTATTGAAATATTAAAATCAGTATTGTTACTGAAAAGCAACTAGATAGTATTACTAGAACTTTTAAGTTCTAGTAACACTATTAATTTTTTTGGTAACCTTCTAGTTACAATATTGATTAAAATAATGAATCTTTAATTACAAACTTAATTTTTTTTATTGATTACTACTATATAAAAATTAGTCACTTCTAACTAATATAATATTTTTAAAACAGTATATGTAGATGTTATTTTTTGTGTATGGTCTTTGTTAACAATAGTATGCAAGTTGCATTAAATGTAAGTATTTTTAATATATTAATACTACAGTTTTTTAATATCATATTAAAAAATTATTTTTATATATTTGTAATTTATTTTTTATATGAATATAAGGTTAATTGTTCTATTAATAAACAAATGTTTATTTATCTCATATTTTTTATTAAAAAATATGTTAACTTTTACAATATATTATATATTTAGTTAATTATTAATTAAAATTAAAGTAGGTATAGTAACCTAGTAAAGTAAATAGGTTGTCAACCTCCAAGTGGCAGATCTAGAGTTCAAATTTTAGTGATGACAAAAATTTGCAATTCTTTCTGTATTATAGTTAACTGTTTTTCATGATTGGTTAGGATAAAACACCTGTAACCTGTGTTATACTAGCAAAACTAAAAGGTTTAAACATTTGTGCAATGTTGTATAAAGAAACACAAACCAGTACTGAGTGGTGTGAACTCAAGACAAGTCCTTAGATTATGTAAATCACAGAAACCAGGTAGAAAGATGGAAGTCTACTTAGAAGACCCAAGTAGAAAGGTAATCTGAACCTTTAACAGTACTACTATAAAGACTAAACCTATAAAATGAAGCTAAAATTTGTGAAACTAGACAAAGAGCCAGCCTTTAAGAAGAGGCTGAATGGAACCAACCAAGCCACTAAGATTTGTTCTAGAGAAAAAGGTTATATGCTAGCAAATATATAAACCAGAAGTGTATAGTTATGACTTGCCTTTCTAGGCTATCTGATTTAGGAGCTTAGTAGAACTTAAATTGAATATTAAAGTAAAGAAATATATTGTAAAGTTAGTACTAGGGTTGAGATGAACTCTACAAGAATATAGCAATTTAATAGTATGCTCTGACTGCCAGTATTAGTTTTAGTCATAGCAATATTAAGTTAGCTATAAGAATAGGATACAGAAGATTCTAAAAGATTTAGTATAAGGTCAAAGGTTCCTTATATAAGTGAACTGCTTTAAAGACTTAGTGGCTATGATATATTTTCACTGACATTGGCTAGAGTCATTGGTAAGCAAAGATAGATAAGTAAATATGAAAACTAGAGTAGTTAAATAGGAAACCTATAGGCAGATTTTAGGTATAGCAACTAGTATAGAACCTTTGAGCAGACTACTTAAATTAGACAATAATTAAAGTTGTATAAATGGCTAATTGTACACTTTTTTTATGATTGCTTTTGTGATTGTAATGCAACTATTAGCCAAATATACTATTAATAAAATCCTGAATCACAAGTACTCATCTTAATATTTTAAAAAAAAAAATTTAATTAATTAAAATTAAAATTTTGCTTAATTAACAATTCATGATAAAAAAAGAATAAAAACTAGAAGAAATTTTTATAATAAAATATATTAATACAAGAATCATAATTCCTATAGTTCATAGAAAAAATTAAACTTAAACTACTTGTAACTTTCTATATATTTAACTAATTTTACTGATCTTACTATTATTAGAATTACAAAAACTAGCTCTACAATTTTTATTAGATAACCAAAAGATGTTAGATTAATAAAAATTTAACTTCAAATAGTCAGAAATGCTGATTTTTATATTTTATATATAACTATAGATTTTATTAATACAAATTCTCCTTCTTTTATAAATTGTTAATTAAATTAAAAATTTTTAAATAATTATAAAAAAATTCTTATTTATATAAATTTTAATAATATTATTTAAATACAAAAGTAATTTATATATAATAAATAAAAAAAAATACTAAATTAAAATAATATTAGCATTAGCATATAGGTTATTAGGTTATATTTTATACAATAAAAAAAAAAATTATCATATATAGTATTAGATTTACTTGCTTTTCTAAACAGTAAACTTTATATTAAAATTATTATTAATCATTTGTACTGACTATTACAGTTATCTAAAAAAAGCTATTTAACCTATATTATAAAAAAATAAACACCTATTATACTTGACTTTTATGTTCTAAAAAATTATTTAATACTTCTTGTAGATCATAATCTAAATTAGCAAAAAAACTATTAGAGTTATTTTTACAGAAGAAGATTCTAAATTTTTAACTTTTAAATTAATGATCTCTTTAATTAATAATAATGCAGAACTACTAGATGTCACATTATCTAATAAATCTATTTCACTAATTTCTACTTGATCTGCCTTCTTATAACTTATAATACTGCCAACTAATAATATATTATATGCATCTTAAAGATTAGCCTTAGTTAATGTTTTATCAAAAAAACTTAGTTTACATTAAATATTAGTCATATTATACAATTTAATTTTATTTTATTTTATTTTATTTTTTTTAGTATTAAGGTGACCTCTTTGGTCTTTTGACTTTTATTAATCACTTGTCAGTATTGTGGTTCAATAAAC